ATGAGGGTATTTCAGAGAGTTTGTGCAAAGTGGAATTAAAAGACAAGTTTATCTGGGTGCAAATATTTTTTGAAATTCATGCATAGTTTTTTTCATCATATGCATTTTGTACAAACCCTGGAAAACACTTCACATGCATCAATTTCAAAAAGCTTTGCACTAAAACACCTTATCTTTTATCCCATTTTCCACAAACTTTTTGGAGAAGTACCCATGTGTATATTGTGTGTGTGTGTGCATATACATACATATACATTTGTGCATGTGTACACAGAAAAAGCTGTTGCCCCATACATAACTGGGAGATTGGCAAGTCTAACATCTGTAGGACAGGCAGTGGACTGCAAACTCAGGCAGGGTTTCTATGCTGCAGTCTTGAAAAGACTTGCTTCATCTTCAGGAGCCATCACCTAACCCACCTCTTCATTGTTAAACCCTTCAACTCACTGCATGAAGCCATCTGCATCCCACAGAAAGATGTGCTTTGTTCAAATCTACCGATAAAAATGGGCATCACATCTAGTAAACACCTTCCCAGCAATATCCAGCTCCATGTTTGACCAAACAACTGGACACTGCCATCTCACAAAGTTGTCACACAGGATCTACCTATACAGTTATCATTTAGTCCTCTGCGTCCCCTCCCTTGTAGCAGTCAGTCCCTCCTCTTCCCCGCTCCCTGTACATTTTTCTCTGTAATTGCTCCAGCGCAGTCATGCACCAATTACAGATCGGCAGTGGTTGCCACTGGGCCGGCAAGTCCAAACCTATGCCCTACCCTGGACATCTAGATTATTCTTGCCTTTCTCAGTTTGGGACATTTTGCTCTTCCAAGAAGTTGTTTCTGGATCTAACATCCCACATTTGCCTACAACTTGACATTTTTTTCTCCCAATGCTCCTCTCTTGTTCACCTCACTCACATGGCTGTGCCCACCAGCTTCAATTCCACCTTCTGTCTGTGGCTTTTGCTCTTATAGTCTGTAGGAATTTTCTTCTTCCCAAGCCCCAGAGTACTTAGTGTGGTACTCCTTAATTTCCTCTGAGGTAGGGCCCCTCTTTAGAAGCGCTCCATGTTGGGCTTCATGCTCTCGTCACCATGTTGAAAATTTTTCATCATTTTTTTTTAAACATGAGACCTCACCTTTTCATTTTGTACTGGGTCCCCCAAATTAAGTTGCTAATGCAGTTATTGGGCACACACCTTACCTGATCATGTCCACTTTAAATAATGATTGAAAACTATATTTGCAAACTGGTCTGTAACATTGTGATCAGTGCCTTTTTTTTTCAATTCTTTGAATGCAGTAAATGTACAATAAATACCTATTAATTATCTTTACCACGAGAGTCTAAGCTCTGTCTTGCCAGTTGTCCAGTATGTTGCTAAGAAACAGAGCTCTATTATTATTAGCAATGGACTCACATGCTCCTGCATACCAAGAACTGGCTTCTTTTCATATTTAACTATCAGCTCCTTTCACACTATAGGTAAGCTGAGATTAAACACACATTAACACAGTTTGAATAAACCTGTTCCTATTCATTCGAATTACATTATAAAACACTAGTTAAAAATTTCCCCACTCTAGGGATGTCAGATTTCTGTGACCAGTGAACCTATTAAACCTGACCTTCAACTTTACGCCAGTGGTTCATTTCAGTGAGTTTGTTCCAAAAAATTATAAATGTAACTTTTTCTAAAAGCATGATTTTCACATTTTCTTTCCCAGCTTTTCTTATTTCAGCATCACGCCTCCACAGCCCTATGGTTTGAAGACTGCTGTGCCTTTTTCTTTCAGCTTCACTTAGCACTTGGTCTTTTGTTTGCTTTGTTAAGAGCTGGGTTTTTGTTTCCCCCATACTGTTTTTAGGAACTTCTGAGAGTCATAAAACCAAGTCCCTCCATGGAAGGCCTGTGGTGGGGTTCACTTTCTTCCTGCAAGACTCCCAGTGGTCAAGAATTCTAGGGGAGTACCTGATGGTGTGGAGGCTGCAGGGAGTATAAAAGCCAACACATGCTGACCTCTTGGTCTTTGAAATTCTACTCAGAGAGCAAGTGTCACTGCAGAACTGAAGGATTAAGCAACAGTAGGTGTCATTCTACTACCACTTCACCTTGGCATTGCAACTGGAAAGGTGTGAGTGAATGAATGTTGTTAGATTTTTCTTCAAGAAATATAAAAGAGAGAAGAAACCTGTAACTTAATATAAAAACAGAATTATTTTTCTTAAAGAATTTAAAACTAAGTGGGAGTGGGCATTTGGCCTAGCAGTAGGATGACCATGTTCCACATGCCCTCAATCCAAGACCTGGATTGAGTTCCCAGCTACTGGTTTCAGTTCCCAGATGCCATGGGGGAACCAGCAGGTGGGGGCTCTTTCTGCCCATCTTTGTTTCTCTATGCCTCTCAAATCAATAAATAGAAGCCAGCATTGTCACATCCATAAAGGGTGCCTGGTTTGTGTGCTGGCTTTTCCTCTTCGAAAAAAGTTCCCTGTGGTGTTTCTAGGAAGGAAGCAAAGGATAGCTCAGGTGTTTGGGACCCTGGCAGCCATGTGGGAAATTTGGATGGAGTTCTAGGTTCCTGGCTTCAGACTGGCCCAGCCCCAGTCATTGTAGCCATTTAAGCAGTGAACTAACAGATGGAAGATCTCTCTCATCTTTCCTTTCTCTGAAAACAAATAACTTTTTAAAACAAATAAAGAAAAATACTAAATAGTAACAGGTTAATAAGAGTGAGAGACTCAGAACTGAACAGCCTGGGTTTAAATCCTAGCATTGCCACGTCCTATAAGGCAACCTTGGATACATGACAAACTTGTGCTCAGATTCTTCTTTGATTCAATAAAGTGACAGTAATATTTACAAGAAAGGTTGCTGTGATTTTTGAATAATTCATATCATTTGCACAGTTAGAAGAATGCCCAGTATAAAGACCCCAGTACACTAAAGCTGTTGTTACCACCAGTTTTATCTTACTTATCATAGATCTGAGATAACAGTTGAAAGCAAAGATTGTGGATTTCACTGGATAACCTCACAAAATACAAAGCTAATGACCCTGGCTGAATCTGACACTTGAAAAATGCATTGTAACTCTTCCATAACTGTTAGCCCTGCACAGAAATTTGCACAAATTAAAATCTGCTCTAACATATGGGTCTTGCTGACTAATGTCTTTCATCACATCAAGAAAAGTCCCACATAATCAAGTAGAGTTGAAAGGCAGATGCGTTCAAGGTGGATGACTAAGTGCAATAACACTATTCCCGGAACTATGGAAAGGGGCAGATGGGATGTGGCAGACAGCAGGCAGTGTTTGTGCACAAGTGTGAAAGGGCAGAAAAGGGGAGGTGTAGCTGTGACAGAGGTCCCAAGAAGGCGGGCAGCTCACGTATGGAGGCAGGAAAGCTAACGGACTGCTAGACGCTCATATGCCAGAGTTTTAAATCCTACCTATTTACTAGCTTATCTCACCCATCCAACTCCATGAAAAAATACCTCTTTTCAAGATGAAAATTTTTAAAAAAAATGCTAAAAGAATATGAATGAGATCTATTGTAGTTTGTAAGGGTTTGGTTTAGCACAGAAAAATGAGAAAATGGGAACTTTGGATTGATTTACATCCGAGTCTTAAATTGTTACAATTATATCTCGGTCTTAAGTTGCTGGTCTGAAATGTCCACTCTGCCAACTCAACTGCTGACTGAAAGAACACGAGAACCATCTTTAAATGCTTCTTATACTGATTAATGAGCATTTTATTTTATGTTATCAGAAAAAGGACAAAGCTAGGCAATGAGATTTGTTGCGTCTGCACTCTTCCAATATTACGTTTACTAGGAAGGTAGAGATTATAATTAGGTGTCATGACAAGTGAAAAAAAAAATCTACAAACCCATTAGTACCACACATGGCACGTAAACAAAGAGCCTTTCTGTAAAGATTTCTTCTATTTTCCTTGTTGCCTCTTGTTCTGATCCCAGGAATCCAACCTGCTCTTAAATTTACAATGAGCAGTCAAATGCAAGTGTCCACAAGAGAAGCCCAAATGGCTAAGATTATCAACACCTGCCAAGGTCCCACCAACCTACACTTATAGTCAGGTCAGGTACTCTTCTCCAACCAGCACAAGGTGGCTCTCCCTCAGGCACAGTTTGCACCCACCAGCTGGTGAGCCAGACACTCATCCTTCTTCTTTATAAGAAGCTGTTCTGAGTGTCAGCACTTACTCATGCTTTCCTATCTGTGAATTCATGGTGTATTGTAAATTACATTTCTGTCTTAATCCCTGTATTACATTTACTCCAGATCTAAGAAATATTGTATTCATCCAAAGTTTTTGAAGTATAACTTTGTTAGTAATATTTGAGCTGAAGGAGAGAAACCTAAAATATCTACCCTGTTTATTCCTTCTCATTGTGCAGCTTAGCATCTCAGATCAACCAAGGCATGAGCCCAGATCAGTGACACATCTAAACTGATGCCACCTTCAGCAGCATATGAACACATTACAACACCTGACGTTGCTATTGACAGTGACATGGTGCTAACCGGCTTAAGGAAAGGAACCAATGTGAAATAGAGGACTGCCTCCCAGTGCTTTCTCATGTGCACTGATTCTTTACATCCCTGGGCTGTTACGAACGGAAGCTATGAACATAATCTACAGCCATCACCTTGAAGATTCAGGTTTTGGAAACACAAATCACATATCAACATGCACTCAGGCCTGCGGGAACAGCACGTGACTCACAAAGCAAGGAAGCAAGGGCAGTTGTTTCTTGCTCTGTTTTGTCCTTTCATTTTTAGCAACACTGACTCTGACAAGGAAAGGTTCATCTTATCAACACTCAACACAAGTGAGTCACTTAAACCTACACACTGAGAAGTCAGCAAGGTTGAAGGTTTTAGTTCCCTCAAGCACGGCACAGGTGGCTCAGCCCCCCGTTTGGATGCTGACAGAACTTGGAGTTTAGACAATGTGGAAAGATTACCTGTCCCAGAGATTGCCAGTCCAAGCCAGCACTGCCGATATACACATGCTGTTTGTCCACAATCCAGAAGGAGGACTGCAGCCGGCCCTTGTTGTAGGCGGTCATGTTCATGTACGTCACCTCGGCCCCTAGGAGTTCAAGGAGAGCCTGTCAGCCTCTGCTTCGAGTTATGGAACTGGCAACCAGTCATCTAGCAGCAGTGACACTCCTGGCTTGCCATCAACCAACCATCAGGGAAGTCAAATATTGAAGTTACAGTTGGTACAAGGAATGAACAGCTTTAAGGCACTCATTTGTTCCCCAAAAGAAAAAAAAATACAAAGGAGGGGAGAAAGATTTTCTTTGTTTATTTGTGGGGGAGGCTGTGAACACAGTCACAAGATCAGGACTTCTCAAGTTACCCAGATTTATATTAAAACCCTGGCTCTATCATGAGATAGGGGTACCATACACTATATTTAAAAATTTGGATTCATCTTAATATAATTTTTGCAATCAAGGAAGATGTCAGTATTGTTCATCATTTCACCTCCCTACAAAAAAACTGACCTTCTGTGCTTCACACCCGTTATTTCACCACTTCACCTGCCTTTACTTTTTTTTTTTTTTTTTTACAAAAAAAATCTCTTCTTACTCCCTCCTGAGGTTTTCTTTGAGAAATATTCTGTCAGGTGAATTTAGGACTCCTTTATGTATCATTTGCATCCTTTACCTTCAATCTTGGTTATACTATAGCTTAGGTAATCTTAATTGGATTGAATAACTAATGACCTCTGATCTTCTTATATCTGGGTAATTGAAACTTTCTCTGGCTTTGGAAAATTTTTAATTCCTTGAATATGCTTACTACATTTTTAAAAGCATCTTTTAGAATAAAGTTTTACTTGAAAGGCAGAGTTGCTGAGGGCAGAGAAACACACACACACAGATTGATTGATTGATTGATTGATTGATTGTTTTCATCTACTGGTTCACTCACTAAATAGCCACAATGGCTGCAGCCAAGCTGATCTGAATCAGGAACAGGGAGCTTCCTTCTAGTTTCCCGCATTGTAATTGTAACTTTCACGCATCCAGATATTGCCAAAACTATGTTGTGCAACTGTGCATGGGTTGCCTTTGGAATCACAAGACTAGTTTCTAGGAGCGCTCTTGTTCCCTCTGGCCTCCCCATATTGTTCTAACAACTAGGATATTCAGCTTCCAGAGGGACAGTGCACTTTGATAACTATCTCGTAGTCCAACAGTTAAGCTTCCTGTAGAAACGGCTGATTTCAGGAACTATCAGGCTTCAAAATAAGACATACTTATCCCCACCAAAACAAAACAAAACAACTTCAAACCTAAACTTGCTTAAGAACAAAGTCTGCCTAAATTATATTCCCTTAATTATGCTTAAGCATAAAATAATTCTATATTCAAAATGGATCAGGAAAAATATTATCTTCAGGGGCTCATCAGTTATGTTTAAAAGTGTGGGAGGCTGGCAGCCAGAGCATACACTTATGAATTGCTTCTTCCTTCTCTCCCCCAAACTTGCTCAGGTCATGCCCCTCATTATGCTGCGTGGAGAATGAGGGTTTTTCCAAGGTTGATGTGTCAGTGCCAGGATGCATGCAAAGAAGCCTGCCTTTGAGACTCCGGGGCTGAGGCAGCGCCAGGGAGCATGGGGGCTCAGAAGATATAAATAAGGTCTATTTTCATGGCAAAGTCCACACCTCCATCTTTTTCAGTTATCCGATGCTCTATGCTGACAGAAAGCTCCATACCCCAACCTGCTGGACTTTGGAGATGACAAAGCCATTCACATTGTACACACAGGGAGCTGGATGGGAAGTTCTAATCTTGGCTGCTGCATTTGCAATCTAGCTCCCTGCTTGTTGTCTGGGAAAGCAGTCGAGGACAGCCCAAAGCCTTGGGACCCTGCACCCACACAGGAGAGCTGGAAGAAGCTTCAAGTTCCTGGCTTCTGACTAGCTCAGCTCCCACCATTGCAGACACTTGGGGAGTGAATCAGCAGATGTAAGATTTTCCTCTCTGTCTCTCCTCTTCTCTATAGGTCTGACTTTCCAATAAAAAAAAATAAATCTTTAAAAGTAGAAAGAAACTGTACTTATGTATAATTTATGGATGTTGTGTATCTTATTATGGGGTCACATGTGATTCTAGAACAGAGAGTAATTCCCCTCCTTGAATAAATAAATAAATTTAAAAGGGAAAAACCAATTCTTATTTTTTTAATTGTAAAATCAGCTATACAGAGAGGAGGACAGACAGAGAAGATGATCTTCTATCTGATGATTTACTCGCCAAGTGACCGCAATGCTAGAGCTGAGTCATTTAGAAGCCAGGAGCCTTTCTGGGTCTTCCATATGGGTGCAGGGTCCCAACCATTTGGGCTGTCCTTGACTGCTTTCCCAGGCTACAAGCAGGGAGCTGGATGGGAAGTGGAGCTGCCAAGATTAGAACTGGTGCCCATATGGGATCCCGGTGCATTCAAGGCATTCAAGATGAGGACTTTAGCCACTAGTCCATTGTGCTGGGCCCCAGCTCTTAATGTTTTTAAGAAATTATATTCAATTTACTTCAAGCTTAGCCATTAAGATGAAATACTAAAATCATTAAAAACATTTCATTATACTTGTATATTACTTTATAAAGAATGATAAATGACAGAAAATGAGTTCATTCTCTGGTTAAATAGCCTTGTGTCAGTTTAAGGGACCAATTTTCCTGATGCCTACAGTATGAAGTAGCTGAGATTCAGGTTTTATTATAAATGCAGGGCTCTTCACACTTCTTGCTCAAAGACACACAGCAATCAGAATTACTCCAGCATTCTATGGGGGTGTTACTTAAGCTGATGCTTGAAATAAGTCTACCAGAAGAGACTGGTTTTTAGAGAGGCCGTCTTCAACATTCTTCTTTAACAGAGGATAAAAGGAAAATAGGAGAAAGAAAAAAGGGTAGATTGAGGATGGAAGAAAACAAAGCAGGGAGGAAAGAAAGGGGAGGGAGAAAGAGAAAGAAAGGAGTGGGGGAAGGAAGAGAAAAAGGAAGAAGGAGTGAGCAGAGGAGGGAGGAAGGGAGCGAAGGGCGGAAGGAAGTGAACTCAATGACAGGATGAACTTCGTTAACTCCAACTACTAGCACAGAGTTGGTCATATTTGGAGGAATAAATGAATGAACAAAAATTGGCAATGTGCTGTGTGTGTTTTTCTCCATGTGCATGACTCTCTTCTCCTATCTGTGATCTTTGTGTCTCTGATGAACTGACTGAGCACTTCAGCAGTGGCTTTCAGGGTAATCAGAGTCCTTACTAAACAGCAGAGGAGCTGGAATTGTGAAGGAAGTAACCTAGAATAACAATCCAGTAGGTAAGGCTGCCACTTGTGGTGCTGGCATTCCGTAGGAGCTCTGGTTTGAGTCCCAGTTGTTCCACTTTTGATTCAGTTCCCAGCATTTAAGAAATCAAAGGATGGCCCAAGCACTTGGGCCCCTGCTTCATATCATGGCTCCTAGCTTCTTATCAACCCAGCTGTGGCCACTGTGGCTATTTGGGGAAAAAACTAGTGGATGGAAGACATCTCTCTCCAGCTCCACCTTTTTGAATAAATGGCTCTATTAAAAAAATTAAAGTCTGAAAATATTTCCATTTCAAGCCAAATTCAAAACAAAATGAAAAAAAAGTTAAACAGGTCTAACTAACATGATTTTAAACAAAACTTCTAAATGTTATCATTTTGATCATTCCTTTCTTTGAAAACTAAGAATTTCAATTTTTTCATGCCTTTTCCAGAAAAAAAAAATGGCAATATTGTCTTCTTCCATCCCAAAGGAAATGGAATCTGTTACTTTATCAAGCTGTGGCAGAACCCAGAAGAGGGGAGGACTGGCGGGTTCCTTTTCAACATTCACTATATCCAGCTTTGTATTCCATGACTGGATGGACCTCCTCTACTGGCTGCTTTCTGCAACTCTAAGAATTGTCAGGAATTCTTCAGTCTTCCTGAGTCCAATACCTTCCCCAGTGCTACCCATGGCCATGGTTCTGAATACCCATGTCAAGCCCTGGCTGCAGGACAGCAGCAGTAACACTGACATTCATTCTGAGGGGGAACACTGGATAAAATTTAGACCACATATTAGGCAAGGACAACAAGAATCAGAGAGCTGAATGAGTGAGGGATCCAAGTCCAGCAACCATGTAAGGTGGGGGTACAGGTGGTCCAGATGAAGGCCTCGAGATGCAACCTTTTGGGAATTCTCTCACCTCTTCAGGTTTTCCTGCTCATCTCCTGAAGTTTGTTAGCATCTGATGCATCCTGCCTGTTTTATGTTTGTCCCTTTCTCAGCTGTAAACTCCCTCTGTAAGCTTAACTAAGGATGGGAAGACAGAGAGTAAAAGACATGAAGAAGAATAAGAGGAAAGGTCTGGAATAAAAATGTTACAGAAGATACCTCTAGATAGTCTCTGACATAGAATAAAGGGCCCAGTGATGAGCTTTGGTGAGCCACTTAGCAGCTGAGTGTTTCTGAATGAGTCATTCACCTTTCCTTGCTTCAGTTTTGTCCTGAAGAAAATGCAGAAGTAGTAAAAGGAGACCTGTTAGAAGTACTGCAAACTACAAATGAGATAGCAGTTTGAAACACCTGCATGGGGCAGGGCTCAGAAAACTGAATTTGTTTGTAGTTGTCTTTGGTGACCATTCATCTCAAGAGTCATCTGGTTAGCATTTGTCTTTCACGTTAGGGTACAGGTTAACAAGCCTCAGGATACAAGCATCATGGGGGGCTGACTCAAGCACACACATTCAGTAAATACCTATATCAGCTGAATGAATCAATGGATCACTGGAAAATAATGGTTTTTCTTCAAAAGTTGCCAAGAAACCAACCTCACTTAACAGTAACAATGGCACATTGACCAAGTCATTAGGGAAAGTTCTCAAGTTCTTAAATTATATCCTTCATGATTAATGTTGGTGCATTGTATGCAGCGTCATTATCAATAACAAAATCATTATATAACCTAGTAAGGTCCCTAAGTCTTCATCCAGCCTGAGGAACTTGGGAATTTGAAATGGGTAATGTCCCCAGGCTACAGAAAGGAGGTGAAGGGAAATAA